ACTCACTGCCCATCTCGGCCGCTTTTCCTGTCCAGAGAGGGAACCGAAGCCGGGAGGAGACTCAGGCTCACTCGAGAGACACGTCAGTGCTCGAGCCCTACCGGCCCCCTTCCGCTTCCTGCCACGCACGGGGTCGCCGCGCTCCGCCGCGCATGCGCAGCGGCCTCCCGACACCAAGAACTACAACTCCCTCGCAGTCACCGCCGTCAGTGCTCGAGCCCTACCGGCCCCCTTCCGCTTCCTGCCACGCACGGGGTCGCCGCGCTCCGCCGCGCATGCGCAGCGGCCTCCCGACACCAAGAACTACAACTCCCTCGCAGTCACCGCCGCTGAGTCCCGCCCTGCCCACAGGGCTTCCCACAGTCCCATCATGCACTGCGTCCACCAGGCTCCCTTGTACTCATTAGACTATGAAGACTACAACTCCCAGGATTCCATGCGGCTTCTTGAGCCTACGCTACGGCCCAAGGTGGCCCATGGCTTGCTGGGACTTGGAGTTTACGCTTGTTTCACCTCCATCTTACAGATGGGCGAGGATCTAGGCACTTTAGTTTTCTTACAGGAAAGGGGGAACCTGAAAGTTTTGGAGGGGAAGGTCAGCTCAGCTGTCAGTCATCATGACACAGGTCCCCAAAAATCATGCAGTTGGGATGAGATTTTAAAAAATAAAGCCATGTAGGGGTCTGGTGATTGGTCTTTTACTTTTGTTTTAAACCAAAACCAGTTTTTTAGTCTTACTGGCTCCTATTTCAAGATTTTTCTCTGCATCCATGAGGGCAACACATTTTTTTAAATGAAAGCTGCTATTCTCATGCACTCGCAGGAGCTGAGGCTTTAAAGAAACATCAATTATCACGAGACAAAGGATGAAGTGAGTGTCACTCACCCGTCTACTAACTTAAAAATAATGAATAGTCTTGCAGCACCTTAGAAACTAACAAAAAAGGTAGATGGTATTGTGTACTTCCATGGGCACAACCCATTTCTTCAGATGAATGGAGTTCAGGGGTCCAGTTTCCAAATAAATAGCAGAAAAACTGTACCCCTGAACTCCATTCATCTGAAGAAATGGGTTGTGCCCATGGAAGTACACAATACCATCTACCTTTTTTGTTAGTTTCTAAGGTGCTGCAAGACTATTCATTATTTTTTAAGCTTTTTCAGTTACAGACTAATATGGCTACCCCTCTGAAACTTTTCACCCTGTAATAGAATTGCATCACAATGTCTACATGCTATCCTGTTACATTAGAATATGATAAACATGAAGGCATCCTTATTGCTGCTGTTGTATTTGTTTATGGTAGCACCCATGATGTGCTAGGTACTTTACAGACATGCATAGAATCTCAGAAATGTAGGTCTGGAAGGGACTTTAAGAGGTCATCAAGTCCAGCTCAGTGCACTGAGGCAGGACTATGTAAACCCAGACTATTCCTGACAGCATGGGCAGCAAGTATCAGAAACAGGGAAATAAAGCTTCCTCAAACAGGCAGATGTGAACCAGCCACACTCTGCCCCAAGTTCTCTGCTGCTTCTGGCTCTCCCATGGCTGGCTGCTCAGCCTCTCTATGCTCCAGGGCTGGGAAGGCCAGGGCCACGTTGCCTGGCCTCCACATGATCCGGGGCTGAAACTGTGATGCCTGGCCTTTGGTGCTCTGGAGAGATGGTGCTAGCCTGGGACAGATGCTAATGGCCACAGGAGAAGATGGGGAGAGGTTAGTGCCATGGGGCAGGAGCTGCAGCCGCAACGGGATGCTGGGCTTTGCTGGCTGTGGAACGGGCAGGACCTTGGACAGAAGGGCTGATGGGGAGCACTAGCCTCCCAAGCCAGTGGTTCACCCACCTCAATATCTGAGAGGGGTTTAAAATATCCAGTGGTGTAGATTCCATAATCATCCTTGGAAACCTGTCTGAGATATTGGGCTAGATGGACCTTTGGTCTGACCTTATGTGGCATTCTTGTGTTCTTATGTCCCTTACTCAGATTAACCCCATTACTACTTGTCCTACAATCAATGGACAGGGAGATCAATTAATTATTGTCCTCTTTATAACAGCCCTTAGCTTATTTGAAGATCATTATTAGGTCCCTAATCTGCCTTCTTTTTTCAAAATGAAACATGCCAAGTTTTTTTTTAACCTTTCCTCACGTGTCAGGTTTTCTAAACCTTTTATCATTTTTGTTGTCCTCCTCTAGATTCTCCAATTTATATACATCTTTCCTAAAATGTACCCAAAATAAGACACAATGCTCTAGCAGAGTCTTGACCAGTGTCAAGTAGAGTGGGACAAGTATCTCCCATGTCTTACACCTCAAAATGATATTAGTCTTTTCTGCAACTGTGTCACATTATAGACTTATATTTAATTTGTGATCCACTATAATCACCACCCTTTTTCAGCAGTACAGGCAGTCCCCGGGTTACATGGATCCGACTTATATCAGATCCCTACTTACAAACAGGGTGAGACAACCCCGCACTAGCTGCTTTTCCCCCTAGCAGACCAGGGAGACACGAAACTAGTGCCCCACCCAGCAGACTAGGGAGACGCGGAGCGGCTTTTCTCAGCAGACACCTCAGCTTGAGAATAAAGGACTGAGGGAAGTGAGGTGAGAGAGAATAAAACTGAGCTCTGGAGAAATGTTTGGCTAGAGTTTCCCCTACAATATGTACCAGTTCCGACTTACATACAAATTCAACTTAAGAACAAACCTACAGTCCCTATCTTGTACGTAACCCGGGGACTGCCTGTACTATGGACTACCCAGTCATTTTGTAGTTTGATGTGATTTATTTTCTTGGTAAATGTAGTATTTTGCATTTGTCTTTATTGAATTGACTTGTTGGATTTCTGAAAAATGTGTCAATTTCAAGTCTTTTTTAACTCTACTTCTGTCTTCCAAAGTGCTTACAACCTTCCTTTCCAGCTTGTTAATGTCCAAAATAATATGAGCATGCTCTTCATTTCTTTATCCAAGTCATTAGTTAAAATATTGAATAATACTGGACCCAGAACTGACCATTGCAAGAGCCCACTAGATATATCCTCCCACTTTGACAGTGAGCCATTGATAACTACTTTGAGTGCTGCTTTTCAACTAGTTGTGCTCTCACTTTATAGTAATTTCAGTTAGATCACATTTTTATAATTTGCTTATGAAATTGTCATGTGAGACTTCACCAAATACTAAAATCAAGATATGTCAAGTCCACACACTTTTCCCTTTTTCGGCATGCCAGTAACCTTGTAAAAAAAAGAAATTTGGCTCATGTGGCATGATTTGTTCTTGACAAATACATCTTGGCTCTTATGCTCTAGGATTATTTAATAAATTGTTCCAGTATCTTTCAGTGTACCCAAGTAGGCAGACTGGTCTACAATTCCCCAGATTCTCTTTGTTTCCCTTTTTAAAAAACATATTGTTAAAAAAGACACAAGTACTACATTTGCCCTTTTTCAGTCCCTTGGGACCTTACCTGTCTTCCATGAGTTCCCAAAGCTAGCTGATTATTGTTTTAGCTAGTTCTTTATATACTCTACAGTACATTTTTTCAGGTCCTGTTGATCTGAATACATATAATTTATCTAAATAGTCTTTAAACTGTTTTTCCCCCTATTTTGATTTGTATTCATTCCCCATTGTTAATATTAATTGTGTCAAGTATCTGGTTACAATTTACCTTTTTATTACAGCCTGAAGCAAAATAGGCATTAAACACCTCAATCTTTTTGATGTCATCTATTAATAGTTTTCCTTCCCAACCCAACTAAGAGGACATGCAGTTTCCTTTGTCTTTCTCTTGTGCCAAATGTATTTATAGACATTCTTCTCATAGCTTTTTAAGTCCCATGCTACATGTAACTCATTTTGTATCTTTGCGTTTCTGATTTTGTCCCTCCATGCTTTTGCTATTTTTTGTAACAATTTGTTTATTTCTACTTTTTATAGGATTCCTTTTAGATTTTCAGGTCATTAAATTGCCCCTGATAAAGCCATATTGGCCTTTTCCTAGGAGAATATGCTGTTGCACCTTTAGTGATCTTTCTTTGACAGACTGCCAGCTCTCCTGAACTCCTTTTTTAAGCTTAGATTCATAAAGGGACAATCCCTGCCCTGAAGAATCAGGACAGTCAGACTACCTCTAGACTGCAGTCTTCTTTCGGAAGAAGCCTTTTTCAGAAGAGATCTTCCGAAAAAACTTTTTCCGAAAGAGAGCGTCCACAATGCAAAAGAGAACTGAAAAAGTGATCTGCTTTTTCAAAAGAGAGCATCCAGATTGAATGGACGCTGTCTTGCATGTAAGCTGTGATTGCTATAGACAGAATGGCCACCAGGGCACCTATGCTTTTTCCTGTTTCCTCTTCTTCTGAAAGAACTCCCTCTTCCCTGTCCACACAAGCCTTTTTGTGAAAGAGCTCTTTCTCAGAAAGGCTTCTTCCTTGTAGAATGAGGGTTACCAATGCTGGAAAAACCCCTCTGTTCTTTTGATTTTCTTGTGGAAGAACACAATTGCAGTGTGGACGTTCCTCAAGTTTTGTTGGAAAAACAGCCATTTTTCTGACAAAACTCTGTAGTGTAGACATACCCTCAGACAAATAGACAGAGGTTAGGAAAAGGGAAATAACAAATAGGGCCTTTAAATTAACAGTAAGCATCTTGGGAGAAGTGGGTCTTTCAGAGGATATAAATGTGGATAGATTTGGAGATTTGACTTTACATTGCAGCAAAATATTCTCATATTGTGGCCAAACAGTAACATGACATTAAATAGCCTCAGAGGAATAGGTAGTCTGTAACTTTAAAAATGAAAGTGTGTGGCATCTTAAAGACTAACAAAAATAGTATCTAAGGTGCCATAGGACTATTCGTTGTTTTTATGACATTAAATAGTATGTGTGAAAAAAATGTTAGGTCCAGATGGGGGAAAATAACATTGTTGTTTCAGGATGTCCATACCTGGGATGCAATGTAATGGCAATCTGTATAAAATGTCTTTTATGCTATGTCATCATTGTTACAGCTTGATGCTATTTTGGAGCAACAGAATAACACTGCATTAAAATACCATCATGCTGTCACACAATATGATGTTATTTCCAGAAAGTGTCACATTGTTTCAGACCATCTTCACACCAAAAGAAGGGAACCTTTT